CACAGATTATTCCATTCACAAATAGTCAATGGTTGTCTGTTGTCTAGATAACACAGTCAAGAAATGCTGAGTGGGAGGGGTCCAAATGGCTCACACTGCAGCGTTCTGCTGCTGACTAAGGTGGAATCTCCTTATTGAAAATTGCTTGCATTGCTCAGTGCTGATAGCAAAGTATTTAATACTCTTGTAAATAATTTAGAACCACGTGTTAAAAGGTATGTTACCTTTAGTTTGTAAGAGATGAGTGATTTACTTAAAGTACTTCTAACGGGATGCTGCTTTGCCAGAAAGGAAAACATGGCATCAAATGTATCGAAGAGGGAGAAAATGAACCTCAACTGTTCTGGTAAAAAAAAAAAAAAGTCAGCAAAAGAACGAAAATTATAAAGAAAGCTGGAAATAGTGTATTTCACACTGGAAAAACAAATATACTAAGGACAACCCATCTTTATTGTAATAGAGGTGATCTGTTTTTCTTTTTTATGCATGTAAAGACTTATGTCTTTGGATTTATTTATTTATTTGATTTATATACTGCCCTTCCCGTGAGCAGGCTCAGGGTGGTTTACATCAGTCTTAGTATAATACCATTAAAAAACCATTAAATAACAAATTAAGACAGCATACAATCATAAAAATCTGTGTAAAAAAATTTGGTCAGATGTCAGTCAGATTAATTTAAGTACAACAGTGGGTGCCCCGATGTCTATTTGGATCCAGGCCACTGGTGGGAGATTGGCCAGGAAAGGAGAGGGATGTCCGCCACCTCAACCAAAAGCTCAGTGGAGGAGTTCTGTCTTGCAGGCCCTGCGGAACTGTAATAGATCCCACAGGGCCCTGATGTCATACGGGAGCTTATTCCACCAGGTGGGGGCCAGGGCCGAGGAAGCCCTGGCCCCGGTCGAGGACAGTTGGATGTCCCTGGGACTAGGTATTGCCAGAAGGTGTTGATTATCATGTAAGTTAAATTTAAATTTTTGAAAAGGGGAAGAGAAGGAAAAAAGAATCACAGTGTGACATTAGAGCCCTTATCTTTTGGGGATGCCTTTTGCAAATGCTGTTAGTGCTGCCACACATGCACTAGAGTTTCTGATTGTTCTCTTGGGTCTCTAGAAGTTAAATTTCCAGGGGACTGAGAGGAGCAGCTTTACTGTGAGGTGCGTGCCTTTAGATGGATGTTCATGATCATGAAGCTATGACATCACGCAGTTTCCATGACTGCATATTATAGGTGTTTTATGCTTTTGTAGTATACCTTCAACCAAAAACACACTGTGGTTTTAAATGATGTGATCAGGTGCTTTTGTTGTTGTTGCTCAGTCGCACAGTCAAGTCCGACTCTTCACGATCCCATAGACCAGATCACGCCAGGCCTTCCTGTCTTCCGCCGTCCTCTGAAGTTTGCTCAATTTCATGTTCGTTGCATCTATGACAGTCTAACCATCTCATCCTTTGCCGTCCAGTCAGTGGCAAATATGATTAATCCGAAATTGTCATGATCTTTACTTGCAAAAGACCTAAATCCAGCTTCTAATCAATTCATGCCTGTGCCCACGGACTGCACAGTAAAAAGAAACCCTCGAATCTAGGTAATGTTGCCATAGCCAAAAAACATTGTTCTTCTGAGGCCTCGATTCTTATGAGCTTCACTTACATGATATTCTCAAAGTTCAAGGGGTAGTAGATCCTGTGGTGATCACATATGAAGCCCTTCATGGCCTTGGCCCCTCTTATTTGCAAGACTGCCTCTCTCCTGATGCTCTGCCATGACAGCTCAACTCATGTCAGCAGGGGCTTCTGCAAACAGGCAAGATCAACAACTGCCTGGACACAGAGGGAGGTGGCGTCTCGCCACGGTGAAGTAGGTCGCATCGAGGGCTCTCTCCCTCAACACTGACCAAATTGCCGGTTCTATAGGAGGGCTTGAGGGCTCTGGGTTCCCCCGGAGAGGGACCCAAGTCAGAGGACTCAATCGGGGCTCTTCGCATGCGGCGGCAGCGACTGGTTGCCCCAGAAACGTCCTGAAGAGCCAAGCAAGAGCTCTCCATGTCAGACAAGAGAGCGCAACTGTGAGCCCCCAACGGAGGGAAGAAGAAAAGGACCTCATCCATAACACTGATGAAGAAAAATCACTGTAAGTCTACGTAAATGCAACATTCTTAGAGGATCTATGGACTGACTGATTGCCCCTTTAAAATCTTAAAGAGCCAAAGGAAAGGAGGGGGTGAAACTGTTTTCCTCCCCCCCTCCTCTTGCAAGCGGCTAGGAAGAGAATCTCAAGCAATTCCTTTTAAGATGTGGGCAAAATGATAAGAAAGAGCCACTTTCTGAGACCATAATTCTGTTATATGGATTTTAAAAATTATAATATTTCTCTGTGAATTTTATTGAACTAGAAAAAGGAGAAAAAGAAGACCTGGATTCCACTTTGAACTGGTTCTGTGTTACATTCTCATAACATATTTTGTCTTTACTTGTTGAAACTATAAAGGTACATGCTGTTCTGATTGTACTTTATTGTGTTGGAAACAACTGATAAGACTCCCAAGCTATGGTGTGAATGCCTCTTTTCTGATACGGCTACAGTGACTAGTGTTGGTGGATAATGGGAACTGATGTGACTTAAAACTATTGTTGAGCGGGGAAAATTTGAGACTCTGTTTTTAATACCTGGTGGTTCAAACAAAATGTTTGGAGATACATTCTCAACAAGAGCAGAACCTTTAGATATTGACTTGACAGAGATTTCTTTAAAAGACAATGGAATATAGATGGCCACTTCAAGAATCTACATCTACAATCCTAATGCATTGGTTACCGAATGTCCCATTTTGTTGACTGTACTGACTCACGCTGTGTAACCCACCTTAAGCCCCTGTGAGAAAGATGGACTAAAATAACCTAAATAAAATAAAAAATAAAGTTATGGATGTGATTAACTAGTGGATTTGAATTGTCATGGTGTTTCATGAGGATTTGCGCCTCATATGTACGTTTTCTGTACCATGGCAATTCTATAAGACGTATTTATTTACTGAAACATTTCCAGTGCAGCCTTAAGCAGAGTTACACCCTTCTAAATCCATTGGCTCTGCACTGTCATACCCTGCCCTGCTCAGTGCAGTAGAACAAGACAAAAGTGCTTTTACAGCAAACCTTTAAAGAATAAAGAAATCAACAATTTTGGGAAAATCAGCCCTCAGTCAACTTACAAAGCAGCCCTCACCAGAACACCCTTTTGACTACAACAGCCGGACTCCTTCTGGAAGCCATTCCAATGAGCCGAGCAGTAATCCAAAAAAGTTCTTGAGTGAGTAGTGGCAGTACATGCCAGTTGCAGTGAGGGCACTACAAGGAAGAACTGTTTGGCCAAGCAAAGCTGGCACATGGGCACAGACAGCTGCCATCCTGGTGTCTGTACAGTGCTATCTGTGGGCCTGCATGTGGGCTATTATTAATGCCTAGAGGAGGAGTTGGCATGGCTGTTAATGGATCCTCTGAGGGTCCCCAAGTTTGGATCTGGCCCATGCTTTGTTGGGCTAATCCTTCCACCAATGCCATTTTCTCAGCAAATGATGCCCTAGAGCTGAAGTTTATTCCATTGGAGGAAACATATTGGTTTCCTGTATGTTTCCCCTTTAAGGGTAAATAGCAGTTATGCAAGACTGTTAGAAGACAAGAAAATGGCACAGGGAGGAAAAGGTTAAACCTCCCTCTCCCCATACTGCAGTTCTTATCTAGATTTCTGGTTGAGCTTACTACTTACCAGTTAAAAGCACCTGGGAGATTTATTTATTTATTTATTTATTTAGACTTATATCCTGCCCTCCCTGCAAAGCAGTCTCAGGGTGGGATATAAGTCAAATAAATAAATAAAATAAATACTCCATTTTCTAGACTCATAGTGTCTTGCATGGTTTAACTTTCAGTTTTTAACTGTAATTTTCATGTGTAAATTCATAAGGCCCTGTGCCTCCTTGGATATTTTTTTTATTACTGCAAAGGCCTGGATGCAAGTTTTTATAACAGTTTGTTGCCAACTATATGATCTGTAATGAAGGCAGTGAATTGTGGAATGGCTTGTAAGAACACCAGTGATTAATGAGGATTTGGACCCCAGAACTACCTATCTAGTACATTTTTTATCCCACTTATCCCTCAAGGAGCTCAAAACATTGTCTCTGGCTGTCCCTCATTTCCCCCTCACAACCAGTCTGTGGTGAAGCGGAGAGTAACTGGTCCAAGGTCAGGTCCATGGCACAGTGAAGATTTGGACCTGGGTCTCCTGAAGTCTGTGCACTGCAGGACCACAGAGCTGTAGCCCAATGCAGTTTTATCGTGTGCTCTATGGGCCCCTGTGATCTGCGACAGATGGATTCGGGCCATCGCCATGTAAAAAACTATGAGCCTCTGTGGAAGCCGAGTTTTCCATTTCCCCTTCCAGGTTAGGTCTGTGTTGGGTACATTTATGTATCACTCCTTTGGATAGTAGGACTGCCAATGGGCCTGAAAATAACCGGCCCAGCCTACCCTATTTTAGAGATCAGCAAGAGAAACAGCATGACGATGATCACCCCCTAATGCCTGCCTTTCAAGGTGCACAGCTGCAGCAGCCGGTAGGAAACGTTGGCAACCCTATCGGCAGACAGGATGACCCGCTGCAAAAAAGGCCAGAGCTCTGTCTTGTGTCATTCATTATATCCACCCGGGCAACCTTCCTCGGCCCTGGCATGCACGACAAATGACGCTTGCCCAACCCCTTCCCAGAAACCAGCATGTCAGGCCCAGGCCCTTCGAGCCCCGAGGTGCGGTCAGGGAGCGCCGCAGGCATCGCACAGCACTGCAAGGACGTCCTGGCGCCGCCGACCTCGAGCGTGCGGCTCCTCGCGCTGCCTCACCAGAGAGTGGCTCGCCCAGCCGCTCCGGCTTGCGGCGTGACTGAACCGGGAGAGGGGATTGCACGAGGCGAGCGAAGCATGCTCGTCGCGCAGCAGAGCAGGCCTCGCGCTCCCTGGCTGCTTGGCAGCCGCTACCATTACCCAGACGCCGGCTCGGGCGCGTCGCTGCCTGCAGCCAGACGCGGCTCTGCTCCAGTCACTCTGCAAAGCGAGCCAATGATCAGCCCCCCGCCAACGCCGGGGAAGGCCCGGGCGGCGCTCCTGGCGAAAGCGATGCGGCTCCCCCCTGGATCCCCGGCATGAGCGCCTGGGAGGATGGACACGATGTCTTTCAAGGTGAGCCCTTCCCCGGGGGTCTCCGGCAGCCCTCCCGCGGCTCTGACCCTCCTCTTGCAAGCACTGCGGAGGCGGCCGCGGGCCTCAGCCTGCACGCCTCTGCTTTGCCTTCGGCTCTGTAGGGACACTTCCCTCGCTTTTTCACCCCAGTGCAGCTGGTGAAGACCGGGTGGATGGGGAAGGAAATAAAACGGCGGCGGGGGACGGGAATCGGAATGCATCAAGTTTGAGCCAGACGTGTCCTAGTTTAAACGAGACTAGATTGCTATTTCTATTCACTAGAGGTGGTGGGAATCACGTCCTTCTTCCTTATCTATGGCCTGGTTACGATTTCTGAAGGACGAGGGAGAGAGCTCTCTGTACATGCTCAAAAGCTTTGTTTCCATTTACTGTTTCACATAGTGCAGAGTGGCGTCCTAGCGTAGAACTCTGACACCGTAGAACTCTGACATCTCTTGAGAGATGCTTTACTGCAGACATAAAGAGCCAGAGTACATGTTTGGGGAGTGTGTAAAGGGTCTGCCAGCAGATGTTACGGTAATATTCCTTTATATGTATAACCAAAGCATGCTCTGAAAAGTCCTTTTCCACATTGCAGTGATGAGATGTTATTTGCACATTAAAAAGTTTGCATCAAACTGCACCCACTGTGGTGGCTTTGGCCTCCTTGAAGTTGCTTATTATATTAAATATGCTATGAACCTATAACTGGTGAGATTTAAAAAAAATTAAATTCCTTCTAGTAAAGGAGTGGTGAAAATTCAGTTGCTTTTAGAAAATGAAAATGATGCTTGACAATTGTTGCTGGAGTATTTTAACCATTTGCAGTTAACGCCACTGAAGGAGGGGCTGAGGCTCAGTGGCAGAGCATCTGCATGGGATGCTGAAAGTCCCAGGTTCACTCCTTGGCATCCCCAGTTAGAGAATCTGGCAGGAGGTGAGGCAAAAGAGCTCTGCCTGAGTCCCTGAAGAGCTGCAGTCAGTCTGAGTAGACCTTGGTAACCGTGACGGACCAATGGCCTGATTCAGTATATGGCAACGTCATGTCTGTTCAGCTGTCTTGGAAATGATTCAGTGTTTCCAAAATGTTCAAAACTATGTATTTTATTTTCACTTTTAACACTCCGTTCTTGGTTTTAAAAGTGTACTGTACAGAGGTCATTTCGGGGGGGATCACAGTTCCCCCGGGTGAGGTAGGGGGGGCGGGGCACATGACGAAGCCCCGCCCCCTGCTTCCGGCCGCCCCGCTTCCAGCCCTCATTCAGCCAGGAGGAGGCAGGAGAAGAGGGAGGGTAAGTTGCTTCCTCCCCGCCTCCCCACCCCCGCCTGCCTGGGGCCAGGGAGGGCCTTCGCGGGGCTCCCTTGCCCCCCCGCGGTGATGTCAGGGTGTGTGGCATATGCTAATTAGTTATGCTAATGAGTTCCCCCAGCTCTTTTTCTACGAAATGACCCCTGGTACTGTATACTGTTTTATGGTTCGCAAACTTGCGGGGGGGGAGTGAATTAAGATAGTAAAGGTAAAGGTTTCCCTTGCTTGAAAGCCAGTCAAATACGACTCTAGGGATGCAGTGCTCATCTCCGTTTCCAAGCTGAAGAGCCAGCACTGTCCAAAGACATTTCCGTGGTCATGTGACCAGCATGACTAGATGCTGAGGTGCACAGAACGCTTACGACTGGCTTATTGGAAGGAATGTTTTAAGTAGCCGAATTCATTGATCTCTTAGAGAGAAGGATTGCAATTGATCAGAAAACAAAAGCTGATAGATAATAGCACAGCAACAATCAGGGGCTACTTTCCCTGGTAGTCATGACATTCTATTGTTAATACATTCTTCTTTTGTTTGTTTATTTTTAAGTGACATCGATTTCCAATTCAGAGTTCAATAATATTGCATTTTTTGTTTTCATTCTACGTTGTAATGTGCTGGGTTTTTGTCCCATTTTATAATTATGCATTTTTAATTATGACATAAGTTTGGATGACTTGATGATCCTGAGTTGGTCTGTCATTGTGGTTTTGTTTGATATTCATGACAAACGTGCCTAGAATTTTGTGTGAGCAGAAGTTCTCTTTCACTCATGGAACATGAAGTGTGGATTAAACTGGTGTTTCCTTGTGGGAAAAGTGATGTAATTGATCTATAGTGGAGAAAATAGGAGCAGCACGCTGATTAGAAATTAGTGTCTTAGCACCACATAGTGCATCTCTTTAAAAATTATCTTAAAACAAGCATTAAACAGCCTGGAAAGCTCTCAAATACAACTGAAGCCATAAAGAAAGGCAGTGAGAGCTGACCCAGGAGCCCAGCTGCAGAGTACCTAGTCGGAGGGAGGAGGAATTAAGGAGATCTATGAGGTAGATGAGCAGCTGACTCTCTTGGACTGTAGAGCATTGTAGTCAGTATGTAGCTAAGAATTGACAGGCTTTGTCCTGGAGCCTGCCAGTGGGGATGATGAAAAACGGGAAGAACCATCTCTGGGATCGGAAAACTGAGGAGGAGGAAGCAGGTGGTGTCCTGGAAGAGACCAGCTGCAACCTGGAGCTGTGGGTGAGGAAAACAGCCCGTATAGATGTTTAACCCATGAGGAGGCCTTTGTGCATCAGTTCAGGACCCTGCAGTGGGAGAAATCCAGAAGCCCATGAGTTACGGAAGCAAAATGAATTGGGATGACTATTTGTGAGATCTTCGTCAATACAGAAGATGGGGTGATGGAGAGCAAGGGAAATTACTGAGCTAGCCGGCCTGAATAGATCAATTCTGCTGACCAACAATATATTCCCTCTAAAAAAAAGATTTGGTGTGGGCATTAGATCAGCACTTTGGGCAAGGACATGTCAGAGGGGGACAGGAAAGCAGTATAGGAGTGGCGAGAAGAAGAAGGGAAACCTCTTAGAAAACCACAGAAGATTTGAAGTTTGTGAGCAGGGCATCCTTAGATACCTGCAGAGCAAAGTAGGAAACTTTAGTAAAGATCCTCTGTGTTGTGGGGCAATTTGAGAGGGACTTTAGTCAGAAACTGAATCCTACTCCGTCCAAGGCAGTGAATGACAAGCGGTGAACTTAAGTGCTGTATATCTGATAAGACTATGGTGATCCCAATGAGGATTAAAAGCTTTGCAAAATGGGGCTACCCCTATCTTGGTTTAGGATTGTGCAAACTCAAGAAAAACCCCAGGTTTGCAGAAAAATTCAAATTGTGTTTAAAATATTGTGGTGTAGAAACTTCTGGAAATGGTATCAATGCATGGGTGGCTGTTGTGCAAAACACAAAACAACAACACAGTTTGGAAAGTGTACTGAATTGTGATAGAAACTCCAAATCCTCATGAATTGTATTTATTTAGTGTCTTTTTATTCCACTCTTCTTCCACCTTGGCATAGATAGACAGACATCCATTCCTCCGCTTAATCATCACACCAATCCTGTTCTGTTGCAGTGCTTTAACCACTGTACCACTCATGTGAAAACATGGTGGTGATCAGGGGTCGTTTCGTAGAAAAAGAGCTAGGGGAACTCATTAGCATAACTCATTAGCATATGCCATACCCCCTGAGATCACTGGAAGTGTGTCATAAGGCCACACCCCCTGCCATCACCGGAAGTGTGTCATAAGGCCACACCCACCACTCAGTCTTAGTCTTAAAGGTTAGTCTTAAAGGTGCTATTTGTTAGTCTTAAAGGTGCAGGAGTGTGAGGAAGCCCCGCAAAGGCCCCCTGCCCCCAACGGTACTGGCCGGCGGCGGCGGCCTTGTGGCTCCACTGGCAAGCCCCATGAGGGGCCCGGCGGTGGATCTGCAAGGCCAGCAG